CGATGAGCTTAACAAATATGGAGCGATCGATAAAATCAAAGAATATACAAAAATGTAAGTTCATAGAAGATATATTACGATTTCATATTCTGTTTATTCTCAAGTAAACTAGAAAAAATAGATTCACGAGTTTTGACTGCTTCAATGGCTTTGGCTCTTCTTTCTACACCTGAAGAACTTAAACGTGACAAAAAAGGCATGAATATTGTACTCAATCAATTACTTCAAATTGTCATCGATGCTGCCAAAAGTGATCGTTATCGACATGATGGTTTTCATGTTAGTGAACCATTAGGTGTTTTAGTCAAAATGTTCGTTGTCGAAGAACGTACACTCGATTATGTCTTATGTCATGCAGAAACACAACCATCATCAGATATGCATTCAACAATTCGTTTATTTGCATCATTACTCTTCAAATTTGCTGATGTATTAAAAGGAACAGATCGACTTGAACAATTTACATTAATAGCTTTATTAAATATTTTCTGGAGCATATCATTTCAAGAAATTTATGCATCAGAATTAATTCAAGATCAAGAATTAATAATAACAATTCAAAAATTTGTTGAAAATGATCAAGAAGAAGAAATTCTCGAACAATATAAACCACGATCTATGGAAGGTGTTAAAGAAGCAGCACATGGTATTCTACATAATCTTAATCGAGATAATAAAAATGAGATAATAGTCGATAAAAAGAATGAATCTCTTGATGCTCTCATTTCGAATTCGATTGTAGGGTAAGAATATTGATTTTCCGTATGAGTTCATTTTGAGATTTGATTTTTTTTAGGATACAAATGAAACCATCGATTATGATAAGTTATTCTCATGGAGATGATGTTTTTTGTAATAAAGTACTCGATTTACTAACTAAACAAAGTAACGTTTTTGAGATATGGATCGATCGAACACATTGTCAAGGAGTTGAAGATTTATGGGAGTCGATTGCTGATGGTATGGAAAAAGCATCTATCATTGTATGTCTTCTTTCGAGTCAATATTTTGAGAGTAAATCATGTCGAAAAGAATTTATCTATGCAACGGATTCACTAAAGAAAAAAATTGTACCTGTATTAATTGAGCATTTTGAACCGAAAGGATGGCTTGGTAAGTTATGAAAACAAAATCATTCTTCGACTCAATTAATATTCGTTTGTTGAAGGTATTAGAATGACTGGTATGAAGTATATTCGTTTTCGAGGACTATTCGAATCGGAACAAAGCAAAATGACAGAATTTTTAAATACAATTCTTGCGTCATTTCCATCAACAAAAACGCCTATCAACGAGAACACCTCAACCCAACTACCGAATCACGGTACGCCACCACCATCGAATCATCTAATGTTACCGTTATCACCACCAACACATCAATCTTTATCATCGTTTAATACTTTAGCTACACAATCAATTCCAGTAGTTTCTCAACGTCCCTGCAATCAATGGACATCATCTAATGGTGATATTCACGCATGGTTTGCATACCATCGCTTGTCAACAGAATTACGTGATTTATTCGACTTTCAAACTGGTGAAGAAATGCTTGATTATGCTCAATTGTTGATTAAAGATTGTGAAAAACAAATGAATATTTATGCAAGAATTTTTGCTAAGAAATATAATGGAAATGATATGCCACCGCATGAATTTAATCGATTTGCAAAAGCTTTGGAACAATTATTAAGAGATAACCCTCGGTCTCCAATGAAAACAAATCCTTCAACTTCGAATAAATCGAGCACATGTACTATTTTGTAACAATACAAAAAAAAAACAGAATTTCGCATATTTTTTTGTTTTACACCGATTTTATATCAAAAAATAATGATAGATCATTCTCTTATGATATCTGAGACAATACGATACTCACAAAGTATGTCTATTGCCATTGGTCACTGTTTCGT